CCCAAAACCCCAAAACCCCAAAACCCCAAAACCCCAAAACCCCAAAATTAATTGTCACACTTGAATGATTTTGTTCAAAATTATTTATTTTGCTTCTTATCGAAGAACATGGGAATTCATAATCAGACAACGATCAGAATCATTCCGAACACATCAGTTCTGATGAAATGATAGTGAAATATCAGGATATCTGCTAGAACTGTAAACACGTTCTCTAGGTATGTGATCGGAGCCATCTTTGAAGCTTGTGAGTATTTATTAGCAGCATTCATTGTTATCAGAACTCCAACAGCTGTGATGCCAACGCAGCATAGAATTACAAAGTTTACAGCGTCATACAGGTGAAAATGTAATAAATCTCTCTTAAAAATAAAAATGAGCAAAGTCTGGATTCAAGTAGATATTCCTAAGTATAGAGGAGATATTATTAAAGGGAGATTGTGATTGTTCAATGCTCTGAGAAACACAAAAACAAATCCACAAGTAATAGCCGAAAGAAGGGTTAGTATGTATCCTAGTAATTCATGTGAGTCTTCCTTAACTTCATCGGACTGGTTCAATGTTAAAAGATAAATCCCTATAAACGCTCCAATTGTGGACCCGATGGAGATAGTTGTGATCTTTTCTTTTAAAAAGATTGCTGCTGCTATAGCTCAGAAGAAAGGGTTTAATGACAGAATCAAAATCCCTTTACTAATTGCTATGAATCTAAGCCCATTACTGATAAATATATCAAGGAGTACTCCTCATGTAAGCCTTCCTGCCATCTTCTTGACAACTTGTGGTCCATAATTGAAGAGATTCATGTCTACTCCAGTGATTAGCCCATAACCAAAATAAAACACAAAGGTGAAATAGCCAAAGAACGAGATTGTATCAAATCCATTGATCTCAGGAGTTCTCTCATAGATTATCTTCATTGAAAGATGGTGGAGAGTTAATCAAATAGTAGCTGCAATCATGCATAAAAATGCCTTAATATACGAATACTCATCTTCATCTTGCAATTTCGATCCATTATGAGTAAATGATTTCTTGCTCGCCTTCTCCAACAGCTCTTCTTTATCAGAACTAATCTCAAAGTTGCTAGATTTCACAGATGACTGGCTCTCTTTATCATCAAAGCTTTGATCTTTTACGTTCATTTTTGGAGATTTTTAATAAAATATAATCTGTTAAAATCCAATCTCCCCTATTTTACCCGGGGTTTTGGGGTTTTGGGGTTTTGGGG